ACAAAGACTGACAGGAACGAGCAGTTTGGTAGAATTTCATCGATATCTCGCCTCCTCGCGTTGTCATTTACTTAATTAAACACACCATATCAATGTGTAAACATTTTAAATAAATGTAAGTACCACTCCTTTTTTTTTTTTCCAAACATCGCCGGTTACAACCGCGTTTTGTGTTGTAATCGCGAAATGAAATAAAATTCTTCGCCAATATCGCACAATTTCAATTAGAGGGTATCTAAAAATTTTACCAAACAGATTTTATCGGGTAGATTTTATTTCTATAAAAGCGTTACCATTATTTTTACGAAACATTCAGTTAAACAGAAAGTATACGCGTATATAAAGTAAATAAAACATTACAATTGGTATCGAATAAAATGTCTGTTTTTTTTTTTTTGAAATTAGTACAGATACTGATTTCAATTTTTTTTTTTTTTTTTCCTATAAATTAAATGGAACAGAAGAGCTGATAATTCAATTTTATAAAATGATTTTAAAATGTTATCTTCGATGATGGGTAACAAAGAGAATTTTCTTACTTTTTTTTTTTTTTAATTACATGATAATTTGTTTTGATAAATTTATTTTTTTGTAATATTTTTTCCCCTCTTTCACGTTGTTATGCTTTTTTTTCTTTAGAAGAAAATATTCTGCATTAAAAATTATTTTGGTAAATATTCATGAATCCTTTAAATATCGAGTTTTTCACGAATTTGCTTGGAGCAGTTGATAACATTAATAGAGAAATCGATACACGTGCAGTGGTTGTTCTTATTTTCATATCTTCCTCTGTTATAAGAGTAGAACCCATCTAGTTTTAATCCATAAACTTTAATGGCTATATTACTCCAAGGACATCATATCGAACATTTAATAAAATAATTTTCCGGAATTTGATGTAAGGATTTCTCTTGAGAATAATATTCCCCATCGTAACGTTTTAACTATGTATAAAATAAAAGCAAAAAAAATGTTTCAAGTAAATTTTGTTAAATATGATTGAGTAAAACAAAGAAAGGAAGAAGCTGCATCCCTTCTTCCCCTCTTCCCCAATTCAACGAAGTTTGTCGCGCGTTAAATTTCTCCTTTCCGTTTAATTACAAAAAAAGAAAAAATGAAAAGCATAATAGTAACGATGCGTGCATTGATTTTCAACTCATCCATTATATCACGAAAGATAAATAAAACGAAGGTTCACGTGCAACACATTGAAAAAGTTTACAGATTCTCGTAAACTCGTTTTTTTTAAATATACCTTTTTTCACTCTCCAATACCTGTAAATACGATACGACTATACGTTTAATTCGAATCGTTCGAATAATTGCACCCGTTCCAGAGTTTCTCTCGGGCGGAGAGTTTATTATAAATGCAACGTATTTACCTTGGCAAATTAAATGTATCTAGATGACGACGCGACTTACGGAACAAGTTTGAAATGAATCGTATCGTCGAGAACCGTCGAGGCTCCAGATCGTTCATAATTCCTTACCGATCTTCGTGTATTTACCTCACGCAGTTGTCCCATCCCTTCTTCTCGTTTTGAATTTCCATAACGTTTTCATAGGGTTTCGATAATAAAGCGGGCGAGAAACGAACGAGAAAAAATATATATATATATAAAATACGTATATGTAACGCGGCTCAATGTAGCTGATTCGGTTTCTCGAAACATTTCATCGGTGAAAGCCAC